CCTCAGGCTCTCTTGCTGACAATGCTGCTCTTCCCAGGAGCTCGATGCCAGGCAGGCACCTATGGGCTCAGGCAGCTGCCGGGGTGGGAAGGAAGAGCCTGCAGCCTTCACTAGGGTGTCTGGCCCAGGGGCTCCACAGAGATTCCACTTGGTCAGTCATTCAGCATTCACCCCACAAATGCTTCCTGGGGACACCAAGAGGCAGCTCTCTGTGCTGGGCACTGTGGAAGAGAAATGTTCAGTAAAACCAACACCAAGTATCAGTGTTGAGTATGCTGAAAACTCATGAGATTTAGAATAAAATGAATGAGGGTCTGAATTCTAGCTCTAGTTCTTCTATGTTCCAGCTAGAGTGTGAGCAAATCACTTTAGTCTGAGTTTCTTCATCTTAAAACGAGGGTGAGAACACCATCTCATGGGGTTGTCAGAGTTAGATGGCATGATGCCTCTAAAGCGTTCACTTATTTGGCACCTGGAAAACACTCCATTGATATTAAATATTGCTATTATCATAAGGTGCAAGGCATATCTTATTAGGTATCTCATTTAATTTTCACACTCACCCTGTGAGCTAGGTATTACTATTATTCTTATTCCCACTTACCATCAGATAGTGCTGTTCATAAATAATAAGAAATTTGCCCTAAGGTCACTCAGATTAGGAGGAAGTATGGACAGATTCAAACCCAAGTATGCCTAGTTTCAAAGTGCATTTTCTTAACACCTGCGCCATATGGTATTCTATACATGGCAGAATCACAATAAACATTATTTCTGTTTCCTGCTACCATCAAAGTACTCCAGCTGAGGAGTGACCATGTCACATATGTATAAACCAAGCTTCTGTATAACTCAGTGTACATTCTGGGCAACTTATAGAACTAACATTCTTCTGCCAAGGATGAAAATGTACAGTGTTTGCTTCCCTCCCCCAGCTCCCACCTGGGCCCTGAAACCTAGCATGTCTGCACAGGCTGCGAAAGCATAACCCACACTGCTTGATGGAACCTGTGTCCCAGTTGGTGTAGACTCCTTAAATCATCACCAACACAGGCAACACATCCTTAATAGAAAGCCAACCACTGGCAAGGTCAATGGCCCTTGGGGGCCAAACGTGACCTCCTACAGAACCTCATAACTCATAGCCCATACACGGAATCAGTGACTCTCATAAAACCCTGTGATGGGCCTTCCGGTCCCTCATGTACTAACTCACAGTTCTGCCATTACCGATGTCCACAGGTCCTAATCAGTGACCCCTGTAGGGACCCAAAACTGACTCCCAAAGACATGCAACCCCAGGCTTGCAATCAATCATTCACCACCTCAGTGTCCCAATCAATAACTCATGTGCTGATAGATGACTTCAGATATTCGTATCTCCCAACTCTTAAAAAACTTCAAGAATTTCTACAGTATCCCAATCACTTACCCACATACGTTTCTAATTATTTTTCTTCAGGAATCCCCCAAGATTGCTGCTCACTGCCCCAATATGAATGATAACTACAAGCCCTGGGTTATCTAATCCTCTTGGACCCTAACTCACTGATCCTTCCCCACAGAAATCCCCTGAGTCCTTGACTCCCAGAGGAACCCAGTCAACCCAATCTGGTTTGGCATTGAATTTAAAGGATAAAAAGGAAACCTAAAACACATCCATGCTATTTACAGTGGAGAGGGATCACAATGGCACTAGACTTAACTTACAACACTAGGAGCCATATTAGAAGAAAACGTCTAGAGAGAAAGGAACTGAGATTCAAGAATTTTAAACCCACCCTAGCTTGATACCATTCTTCTGTCAGAGCAAAAGAGACAACTTTAGCTATAAAAGCATGTATAACATTATATGCCAATATTCCTATCTCAGGAATATACTCAAGGGAATAGTCTAAACAATTATAAATTGAATAGTAACAGAAACCTCAAAACTGGAGTAAAGCAGTTTTGAGAAGTGATTCTTGCAATTTATATATAGTTGTACCTGAATAAAGAAAAATAACATAACTGGGCATTTGGAATAAATAAAATTATTACTATTACTAAGTGGAAAATTTAAAATAACCTGAGAAAACCTACTGAGTGAAATGAGAAGGTAAATTACACATCTCTATTACTAGATACATATAGTATTACAACACTATATGGATCTAGTAATAGTGAAAATATAGACAATCATATTTGTAAGGAACATGAAGGCGACTACTATAAGAAATTAATTAAAAAATTAAATTTCCAATCTCTCAGAAATCCAAAATAACAAGAGCATAGAGGGAATTAAGAGAAGTGTGACCAAACCAGAAAAATAGGAAAAGGGAAGGAATGATAATATCAACTAAATAAAATAAATGGTAAATATAAAATAATAGGAGGCACAAAATCCAATATATTATAATTCAATTAAACTGAATGAGCTGAATTCTCCTATAGAAGACAAAGACTATGGGATTGGGTGAAAAAACCAAAATATAATTGTTACATATCTAAAACAAAAAGATAAAGATGTGAAATGTGAAAGCATTGGACAGAAATATGCCATGTTGTTTATCCTTCTTCCTGTTATGGTTGGCACTTGTTATGTCTTAGGAAATTTTTGCCTATGTCAGGGTGAGAAAGATGTTTAATGCTGTCTTCTAAAAGTTTTCTTTTTCTCTTTTTCACATTTAGATCTATAATCTTCCTAGAAAGGATTTTTGTGCGTGGTATGTGTTAGGGTCAAGATTCATTTCTTTCATGTGGATGTCAAGATGATCCAGCACCACTTATTCAAAAGACTATCCTCTTTTTGCTGCTCCTCAGTGTCATTTTGTGACCATATATGTGGGGGTTCATTCCCAAAGTCTGTATTTCCATTGGCCTATTTGTCTATTTGTGAACCAGTACTACTCTACCTTAATTAATGTGCTTCATAGTAAGTGTTGATAGCTGGTAGAGTAAAAGATTATTAAATTGGACTACCTTAAAATTAAGGACTTCTGTTCATCAGAAGACAAAATTAAGAGTGTAAAGGCAAATCCCAGTGGAAGAAGATAACTGTGATACTTTTATCTGAAAAACAATTCATATCTTAAATATATCAAGAATTCTTAGAAAGCAGTAGGAGCAATAGAAAAAGAGTGAAAGGAACAGGCACTTCACAAAGAAGATATTCAAATGGCAAATAAGCATAGCTCAACATCATTAGTTAGCAAAGAAATGTAAATTAAACTACAATCAGATATTCCTCCATATGGACTAGAAATGGCTAAAATGAAAAAGATGGAAAACAACCAAGAGCTGGTGAGGATATGAACACCTGAGACTCTTGTTTTTTAGGAACATTTGGCAGAAACTTTGGTAGTGTCTATTAAAGCTGAACATATGCAATATTCTATGCTCCAGCTATTCTACCCCTAGGTGTATACTCAAGATAAATGTGAACATATATTTACCAAAAGATGGGGATGATGGTGTTCTTAGTGGCTTTATTCAAAACCTAAAATTATGTAAATGCCCATTAACATTACAATGGATAAATAAGCTGTCCTATATTCATATAAGGTAATACTATATAACAACAAGAAAGAACAAACTGCTACACATAACATGCATGAACCTCATCTTGTGAATATTATGTTGGCCAAAGAAGCCAATCCCAAAAGAGCAATGAATCAAAATTGTACGATTACATTTATATAAATTTCAAAAATAAAACTAACCTATGCCATTAGAAGTCAGGATATTGGTGGTACTCCTTGAGAAGAAGTTAGTGACTGGAAAAAAACACAGTGGGTGCTTCTTGAGTGTTAGTAGAATGCTTTATTTCTTGATCTAGGTGGTGGTTGTACAGGTTTGCTCTGTCTGCTAAAAAATCATTGAGCTAAATGTGCATGTGTGTACTTTTCTATATTATGTTACAATTCAATAACATTTTAAAAAATATACAATATACCAGACAAATGCAAGAAAATGGAAGCTGGTCTAGAAATAATATTAAGGTGGAAATTAAGGCCCAAAGTGCTCAAAAGATGAGCAAAAAATGGGGACCTCTTTTAATAATAAAATACATAATAAAGAAGTACTAACCTGCATAAACCTTTAGGGTTGTTCAACATATATAAGTAAAACTAGCACAAATGCATGGAACCACATGAAGTCTTAAAAATCATAATTATGGGGACTTACTCTTCTGGAAGATGAAGTAGATATAATTTTACCTATTACCTTTTCTTCCTGCTAAATACAACTGAAAACTCTGGACATTATATGTAAAACTTAGGAAGACTCTGAAACTTGGAGTGAAGAATGCAGATTGCTAGGGATCGTGACATCCAAAAAGTGCTGAGGCAGTGATTTCTCTGGGTTTTCTTTCAGCCTCACATATACTAAGTGGCTCGGTGAGTGAGAGCTGGCAACCCACAAAGGCCAACAGTGCAGACAAAAGCTGCCCCAAGAAATTCCTGCTCACTCTAGTCAAAGGACCAGGAAAGGGGCAGTCCAGCAAGACAGAAAACTTTTAGACAGTAATGGCTATACTCAAGTCAAACACCACAGAAAACACTGCAGCGTCACCCCCAGGACTAACATCTGTGGCCTAGTGGAGAGTCTAGATTTACTTCCACCTTTTTCAGGCTATAAGAAGCACCTGCGGCCCCAGTCTCCAGCCCCCTGCTCCAGCCCCTCAGTGACAGTGGAGACCATGTGGGGATTCTGGGCTTCCATCCTCACCCAGAGATAACAAAGCATCCTTCCCCCGCCCCACTGAGGCAATGTCAGAGGAGGCCTACTGCAGCTCTCACCAAGGCTAAGCAGTGACAAGGGCACTTCTGCCACCAGTGTCAGTGGACATCACTGGGAAAGCAACAGGAGCTAACTACTCCCCTCTCAACCAGGGTGGTATCTTCACAGGTATAGTGCAGAGGCTGAACTCCTATTCCCACTGATCAATAATAAGCCCCCACCACCACCCTGGAACCCACCAAAGAGGCCAAGTGGAGAAGCTGGACTTCCATCCCTACCTGGTAATGAGGTGACATCTCACTTCACCAAACAGAGCTCTGTCAAAGAAGGCCTGTAAAACATGAGAGTTAAATAAATTCCAGAGCCTTATAATACCCAAAATACCTAGACATAATAAAAAATCAGATGCCACACCAACAACAAGGAAAATCTCAACCTGAATGAGAAAAGACAATGAAGAGATGCCAACACTGAGAGAACACAGATGTTGGAATTATCTGACAAAGATTTTAGAGCAGCCATCATAAAAATGCTTCACTCAGCAATTATGAAAATGCTTAAGATAGATGAAACCATAGAAAATCTCAGCAAAGAAACAGAGGATATAAAGGAGAAACAAACAGAAATTTAACAACTAAAAAATATAGTAACTGAAACAAAAAATTCAATGGATAGGCTCAAGAATAGAATGGGGAGGACAAAGAATCAGTGTACTTGAACACAGAATAGAAATAAACAAATCTGAACAATGGAAAGATTAACTGGAAAAAAATGAACAGAGCCTCAGGGACATGTGAGACTATAACAAAAGATTTGACATTGAGTTATGGGTGTCCCAGAGGAGAGGAGAAAGAGTGTGGAGATAAAGAAGTATTTGAAGAAATAATAGCTGAAAATATACAAATTTAGCAAATGACATCAACTTAGAGATTTAAGAAGCTGAATGAACCCAAACAGAATAAAACAACAACAAAAATCCACACCAAGACACATCATAGTCATACTTCTGAAAGCTAAAGACAAAGAAAATATCTTCAAAACAGCCAGAGAAATGACACATTACCTATAAAAGATAAACAATTTGGGAGACAGTAAGATTCTCATCAGAAACCAGAAGGAAGTGGCACAACATTTTCTAAATGCCAACAAAAACTGTTAGCCCAGGATCCAATATCCATAGAAAATGTCTTTCAGAAATGAAGGAGATATCAAGATATTCTCAGATAAAGGAAAACTAAGAGAATTTGTTACCAATAGACCTACATAAAAGACTGGCTACAGGAAATTCTCAAAACAGAAAGAAAATGATAAAAGAAGGAACCTTGGAACATCAATAAAGAAGAAAGAACATGGAAAGAGCAAAAATATATGGAAATGTAATATACTTTCCTTCTCCAAATTATGTTTTACAGTTGAAGTAAACATTATAATACCACTGATGTGGTGCTCAATGTATGTAATATTTATTTAACAAAATTATAAATAGGGGAGAATAAAAGGATGCAAAGTAGGTGAGGTTTCCACACTTCTCTGGAAGTGGTAAAAGGATGCAGTAGACTTTGATAAGTTGTTCATATGTTACATGAGACATAGAACATCTAGTTAAAAAGCTATATAGAGATCCCCTGGAAAACAATATAGGTATATCAAAATGAATTCTTTAAAATGTTCACATGCCCCAAAGAAATGTAGGAAAAAGAGAAAAACAAAAAGAAAACACAAAGTATGACAGACTTAAACCCTAACATATAAATATAAAATAAGGTGTAAAAGTTATAAATACACCAATTATACAAGAAAGATTGGCAGATTAGGTTTAAAAAATCATGACCACAGGAGGCAACATGACAGCGTGAGCAGGGCAGTGGAAATCTCCTCCAAAAACCATATATATTTATGAAAATGCAACAAATACAATTATTCCTAAAAGAGAGACCAGAAGATACAGTACAACAGCCAGGCTACATCTACATCTGCGAGAACTCAGCACCTCATGAAGGGGGTAAGATACAAGCCACGGCCTGGCAGGAACCCAGTACCACCCCCAACCCCAGCTCCCCAGCAGGAGGAAAGGAGTCAGAGTAGGGAGGGAGTGGAAGCCAAGGACTGCTAAACAACCAGCTCTAGTAATTTGCACCGGGAGCGCAGACACACACGGCGTGGTGTGCTGGATATTAGGGAAACGGAACAGTAAAATCTGCGAGCGGGTCCCCGCAGTTGGCACCCCTGGGACAGAAGAAAAGCGAGTGCTTTTTGAAAGTCTTAAAGGGATAGGGGCCTCACAGCTGGATGGAAGCATCCTGGCACACTCAGTGCAGCAGCTGGGAATCCTGGGGAAATTCAGGCGCTCCAGCCCCCTGGGAGGCAGCACAGCTCTGAAGTCCCTCACAGTGATAACAGTCTCCCATCCATTCCTCCTCCACTGTGGCCCCGCCATAGCAGGGGAGCAGCCTGAGAGTGGCTGTGCCCACAGCAACTGCGCAGAGCCTCCTCCGCAGCCACCCAGGCCAGACTCAGAGGCCCCGCTGGCACGCACAGACAGAGGAAGCCGGGACAGGGCACCAAGGGTTGCCGTTCTCACAGGAGAGCACATCTGGAGCACCTGCCCCTCCCCTCAGGGCTCTGGGCTGCCCAGACAACTGCCCGACCTGCGGCAGCTCAAGAAATAAAACTGGAAGCTGCTCCGAGAAGGACAAGGTGACCAGCAAGCAGGAAGGGACTTTGTAATCCCAGCTAACACATGTGCCAATTGCCCACGACTACCTCTATAGCCATGAAAAGGCAGAAGAATCTGATCCACTCCAGAATCACCCAGACAACCCCTGAGAGGGAGCCTGCAGAGATAGATTTAACCAATGTTCCTGAAAAAGAATTCAAAATAAAGGTCATAACCATGCTGACGGACCTGCAGAGAACTATACAAGAGCTAAAGGATCAAGAATACAGAAAAAAAACAATCTCTGGAAGGACTTAAGACCAGACTGGATGAGGTGCAAGAGGCCGTTAATGGAACAGAAATCAGAGAACAGGAAAACAGAGAAGCTGAGTCAGAGAGAGATAAAAGGATCTCCAGGAATGAGAGAATACTAAGAGAACTGTGTGATCAATCCAAACGGAACAATATTCGCATTATAGAGGTACCAGAAGAAGGAGAAGAGAAAAAAGGGGATAGAAAGTGTCTTATAATTGCTGAAAACTTCCCAAACTGAGGGAGGAAACAGTCTCTCAGACCATGGAAGCTCACAGAACTTCCAATACAAGGGACCCAAGGAAGACAACACAAAGACACATAGTAATTAAAATGGCAAAGATCAAAGACAAGGACAGAGTACTAAAGGCAGCCAGAGACAGAAAAAACGTCACCTACAAAGGAAAAGCCATCAGGCTATCATCAGACTTCTCAACAGAAACCGTACAGGTCAGAAGAGAATGGCATGATATATTTAATGCAATGAAACAGAAGGGCCCTGAACCAAGAATACTATATCCAGCACGATTATCATTTAAATATGAAGGAAGGATTAAACAATTCCCAGACAAGCAAAAGTTGAGGGAATTTGCCTCCCACAAACCACCTCTACAGGGTATTTTAGAAGGACTGCTCTAGATGGAAGAACTCCTAAGGCAAAATAGATGTCACCAGAGAAAATAAAATCACAACAAAGAAAGCAGACCAACCAAATACTAACTAAAGGCAAAACATAAAATCAACTACTCACAAAAGCAGTCAAAGGAGACACAAAAGAGCACAGAATAAAACACCTAACATGTAAAGAATGGAGGAGGAAGAATAAGAAGGCAGAGAAAAAAGAATCATCAGACTGCATTTATAATAGATTCATAAGTGAGTTAAGTTAGATGGTTACATAGTAAAAAAAGCAACCCTTGAACCTTTTATAACCACGAATCTAAAGCCTGCAATGGCAATAAGTACATATCTTTCAATAATCACCCTAAATGTAAATGTATTGAATGCACCAATCAAAAGACACAGAGTAATAGAATGGATAAAAAAGCAAAACCCATCAATATGCTGCTTACAAGAGACTCACCTCAAATCCAAAGACAAGTACAGACCAAAAGTGAAGGGATGGAAAAAGATATTTCATGCAAACAATAGGGGAAAAAAAGCAGATGTTGCAGTACTTGTATCAGACAAAATAGACTTCAAAACAAAGAAAGTAACAAGAGGTAAAGAAGGACATTACATAATGATAAAAGGGTTGGTCCAACAAGAGGATACAACCATTACAAATATATATGCACCCAATACAGGAGCACCAACATATGTGAAACAAATACTAAGAGAATTAAAGGAGGAAATAGAATGCAATGTATTCGTTCTAGGAGACTTCAACACACCACTCACTCCAAAGGACAGATCCACCAGATAGAAAATAAGTAAGGAACACAGAGGCACTGAACAACACACTAGAACAGATGGACTTAACAGACATCTACAGAATTCTACACCCAAAAGCAGCAGGATACACATTCTTTTCAAGTGCACATGGAACAGTTTCCACAATAGACTACATAGTAGGCCACAAAACGAGCCTCAGTGGGAGCGGAGCCAGGATGGCACCATGAGTAGAGCAGCGGAACTCTCCTCCCAAAACCACATAGAATTATGAAAATATAGCAAAGACAACTCTTCCTAAAATAGAGACCAGAGGACACAGGACAACATCCAGACCACATCCACACCTGCGAGAACCCAGCGCCTCACGAAGGGGGTAGGATACAAGCCCTGGCCCGGTGGGACCCGAGCGCCCCTCCGCCCGGCTCCCAGCGGGTGGAAAGAAACAGGAGCGGTTTTTTTCTCTTTCTTGGTGAGTGCTTTTTGGAAGCCTTAAAGGGACAGGGACCCCAATACCAGGGAAACACAGCAGTAAGACCAGTGAGCGGGTGCCTGAGACCGGCGCCTGAGCACAAAGAAAATCGCGCGTTATTCCCCTTTTTTTTTTTTTTCGCGAGCGCTTTTTAGAAGCCTTAAAGGGACAGGAACCCCAATACCAGGGAAACAGGGCAGCAAGAACGCTGAGCGGGTGCCTGAGACAGGCGCCTGAGGATAAAGAAAATCACGCGTTTTTCCCTTTCCTTTTTTTTGGCGAGTGCTTTTTGGAAGCCTTAAAGGGACAGGGACCCCAATACTAGGGAAACAAGGCAGCAAGACCAGTGAGAGGGTGCCTGAGACTGGCACCTGAGGACAATCAATACCGTGAATTTTTCCCATTTTCTTTGGTGAGTGCTTCTTGGAAGCCTTAAACGGACAGGGACCCCAATACTAGGGAAATAGGGCAGCAAGACCGGTGAGCGGGTGCCTGAGAA